AAAGAGTCAACCACTTAATCATGTTTGAGTGAAGAGAGGACGTGGGTGGCGAAAAGAAGAGTCAAGTTATTTTTGAGCGAATGGAGTAGTAGTACCGCTCCCGGATTTCATCTATTATACCTTCTGACTGCGGCCGCCAACTCTTGTATCTGTGCAGGAACCGCGTGGTCCGTAATCTGCAGTGATGTTTCTGCAACTCAAAATCTTCAATGCTCGTTGAACATTATGCCGAATCATATGCGGGTAACTGTGGAAGAGGGGGGGGGCGGAGGTAAGGGATTTTTTTCCCGTCTTGTGTATGCTGACATTTTTTTCACACAGATCATTCGCAGTTTCTTGTCGTGTACAGCAACTCCCGAAGTCGGTTAAACGTGTCCCTCCCATATGCTCTCGGTAAACCGTCTGCGAGTAAGTTTCGGTTACACGACGTGTCATACGATCGGCAGGTCATCTTCAGCTGTACGCATGTATCGTATTTCTATATTATAGTCTAGTGCCTCGCGTGGGAGAGGGCTTATAACATTCGATGTATTACCTATAACATAGTATTGTCGTGTGTATAAGGCGGCGGGCAATATGTGTTATTGTGCTTGGCGATTGACTTAACGAAAATGTATTGTTTTCGGTCGCAATTCGCCAACGATACGTCGTGCGCTGGATATGATCAAAACCGTAACGTGACATCGAACCGTACCAAACCAAGTGCAATGGATATTAAATATACGACGTATATAGCATAAACACGGTCGTCGTGTGCGTATATTATACTAAAATGTATAATATTATGCGTTTATTTTAACGGCATCGTGTCCAGCTGCTAAGCCATTCCCGTGTGCGAGGAACAAAACGCCGATTACAATAAAGTCGCGTCATCGTAGGTTACGACCGACTGGCTTCTAAGATGACGCCCGCCTGTAATCCGAACGTGTGTAATAATAATATGTACAAATTACTATATATATATTGTATACAATATATGAACTAAAGTGTTTAATAAAAATAGACGGGCGCGTTGTCAACACAACCCTAAACAACGATTAACAATTCATATGGAATGTCGGCGGGTGGGAATGTTTATATATAAAACAAAAAAAAAAAAAAGAGAATTTATTATATTACGTTCAATATTAATTCGGTAGGTACTGTTCTCGCGATAAATTTCTGTATATTATTATACGACGTGCACCGCGACAAGATTAATTGCCCAGCAAAGTGTTGTTCGCACGTAAATAATTATTATATTATTATATTGTTCGAAAACTCGAACGAGGTCTTCTTGGATAATAAACACAGCATTATCTTTTTTTTTTTTTTAATTTTACTATCATTCGTTTTGTCATCGTAATATAGCGTAATCGCGTTTGATGCCTCATCGTCGCCTTGACAACACATAACTGTACCATAATATATTACAGGTCGTGGTGGTGTGAATAAAATACATAAAATATGCAATACGCGCTATATACTGTACTCTATATATAATACGTAACTGTGCCGCTTGTAGGTATATATAAAATGTATAATATTATGTTCTTGTCGATTATTATTGTAGTACTGTCGTTGACTCGTGTGGCGTTTATATTTTGTAGGCTTTTCGCCCAAAATATTTAATACTTCTGAGTTTTTTTCTAATTTGCAGAACTGTACTGTATTTATTATAATAAGAAGAATGCGGGGAAGTATGTGGAATTTTTGACTTTTTAATCACAAACTAATTTATTAGTAAAAATATGTAACGGCTTAATTTATGCCGTGGTAAATATTGATATTGTAAGTCCCCCCACCCCCGCCCACCCAGAGAAGTTATTGTTGACAAAAATCGTTGCGTTCTCGCTGAAGTTTGCAGTGATCCGCGGACTATCAGTGGATAATGGATATAATATATAATCCGAGGACTATACAGATTACACATGCATTATTGTACGATATAATATTTTGTTGATCAATAATGCAATTAATTGGTGGAACACAGATAGTGAAATTACACAATGATCTAAAATTAATACGGAAACTATAATATTGTTTTAGTAACATAAAAACATTCGTTAATTAATCCGTTTAGTCAGAGTCAACGACCCGTGATCCCGAAAAGTTATCTCGAGCTCATTTGGCCCGAACAATTTTTTTTATTTTTAGAAATAATGAATTGCTCGATAAATATATTAGGTAGTGTGGTGACAATTGAAATCATTTATAGGTTCTATATGTTTAAACCCAAAGACCAAGAGTTTTTAAAGTACTCTCAACAATATATTTTTCTGAAACATAACTTAACGTATATTTATCGTTTAATGACTCGAAAAAATATGTTGATTTTTCAAACCATTTTCCAATTATTAATGAACAGAACACAAAACTGTGAAAGGTGTATTGTAAAAAATATTTAAACTGTAAGTATGCCGTATCATACTGCACGTATGATTTCATAATTTTTGTATTCTTACACGGTTATTCGAAATCCAAATAGACTTAAATTACTAAGTTTAAATTCTAGGCCGTATATGACCGGTAAATATGTCCAATTTACGAATTGGTCGAAAAACATGTAGCTGTACTTGTCGCCTATCGTACTTAAAACTTCACATTGTATTAAATTAATATATAATGGATGGAGTCAGGTATTCCAGACTCGATTCAATTTAATATTCACCTGCAGAAGAGCCGAGTTTACTACTAGGTTGTACATTTCCTTCACTTCGTTAATATTTTTCTTTTTTCTTTTTGAATTAAATGAATTTTGGCTTCTGAGGCCGTATTGGTATATATATGTACCAATACATGCGCCATATATATGCGTTAAGCAGCCTCAAAAGAAGAAAAACCATACGATTGCTGTTAAGTATTTACCATACGTTACTCGACCGAAGCATATATTATATTTTACCCAATTCAATAATTACGGCCAAGTCTCGGCTGTCGCTCGGCATTGAATTAATCACGCTAATGATGACACATTTAGCGATTGCGGCGCAACCGTCGGTCGACAGTTGTTGACAGGAAAACATTTTTTAATATCGTCGCGTCGTACGGTTTTTTGCGCTCTCGTCCAGATGATTTTAATATCGAAACCATAATTTTCGTCGAAAAAAAAAATTTAATAAATAAACACTGGCACGTCAATCATTATATTACATGGATAATCACGACGGATAATAATAGTACACAATCGTATGATCGTTGCGATTGTGTGGCGGTCATTTCGCGCATATAACCTACCTATGGAGAATATAAAAAAAAAAAAACACCGATCGACAACCTCCCATTTATAGCTCTATCGGTTTCGCAAGACCTCGTCGCTTGCAAGATATTCATCTCGTATAATATTATAATATATAATCGGAAACGTTTGCAGCGATCGCGACTGTGCGCACACACATATACTAACACAAATATATGTATATGTAATACTATACTGTAATTATATTATCGCTGTTCTATGAGCTATAAATTATAATATATGTATATACCTAATTACGCAAGGTATGGTGTCCCTTTTCGTCGTCGTCGGCCCTTTCTAATCGTGCGGTCCACACGGCGGCGATGGTAAAGCACAGGCCATCAATCACGAACCGTTTATATATATATATATATATATATGCGTATCTGTCTGTGTACACAATATGTACATAATATTATTATTTACTATTGTTAAGTAACTCCGTTTAGCGACGCGTTGACAATCGTCGCGGTAGTTGTGCATGCATTCGCAGTGATACGATCGTTGCGGACTTGACCCGTACGAGCCGTAGTCGTGTCCCATCTCTATATAGAAACTTAATAATAACGCGCTCGCGTCTCGTGTCCGGCCAAATTCGATTTTTCGTCGACGACTGTCGTCGTACATGAATTATCATTGTTGCGCAGACCCCAAACGGCGGTGCTAGGGTAAACAATAGCCGTCTCTCCGAAAACGAATGTCGTCTTATCCGACCGGTGCAGCAGTCTTGTAATGTCAAATACGTCTTGCAACGATGACAGATTGTCTGCTATCGTCGGTAAAATATGAAAAGAGAAACATTTTAACCATAATTTTCCGACTCGTCTGACTTTTCTAAATCTGTAAATGATGGCGGCGCAAGGGCGAAAAATGTATTTTTTAAATTGTTATTTTTTATGGTGAATTTAATGAGGTTTTCGTGAGTTTTAATTTAATTTTTTTCATTTTGCCTCTACTTCATTTGAACATCGAAAACGTACGTTGAATTTAATTGCCCCCGAAAACTTCATGAATTACAAAAGTAGCCAAAAATATTAATTGTAGATTCCTGGCGTATAAAGTTTATGTATGAATGGTAGCAGAAAACAGGAAAAAAAATTGTACCTAATTGTCTGGCACAGGTTTGCAAAGTATTTGCCTATATATAATATATATAATATTATATAGATGTGTATATACTATTATGTGTGCATATTTAACCACCACCGCCTCTCTCTCTCCGAAATAATTCTTTCACTGCGACGGCCAAAGCTGAGGTTTTACAATGTGTTGTTATCGGTTCGACGAAAAAAAAATTCTATTTTTTGGCGTCCGACCGCCGCCGCCACAATGTCCACATAATGACACGTATAATTCATTCTGCCGCGCCACAGCCTGTAAAAATCTCAACGTTTTACTCTCCGCGGTGCGTGTTATGTAATTTTTTTTTCCCCCGTTCTTCTTTTCACTCGCCCGCAGATTCAAATTAATATCCCGCGACAGTCTTAACGTCTTCTTAAGCCAGCGCACCGCCGCCGGCCGTACCGAAATAGAAAAACCCGCTTGTATGCTCGTAAAAATAACGGACGTGATGGAGATTATGATTTTTTTTTTAACTACTCGATCCTCTTATACTCTCACACACACATACACGTCCAGGCACACTATACATTACGCCCATTAATTTATGACCGAAACCATAAGCGTAATAATTGTGTACGCACGCGACACATTTATATTATTCTCTGGCTTATTCATCTTGGTTATAATTATTTTTATGAATTTGTATTTTGTTTTGTTTCAGCTCTCAAAGTCAAGTTGATGTTGAGGAGACCCATTAACCAATTGGTTGCCCAAGGAATTATGCCCTGTAAGTATACAACCACACCCGGCAGATACCTAACGGCACGCAAGACGGTGTTTAGACTCGCCCCTATATTTTACGATGCACCACCGCCCTTTCAGGGTTGAACGACTGTTTAAAATTAGCTTGTGTGTGCGGCGTACAACGCTTCTTTCGTTTTAGTCGTTCAATCTGACTAATGTGTATTAATCTAAGGCCTTCGATCGTTAATTATAATGTATTATAGATACTGATGAAATTATCGTGTTTCAATCGCCTCGTCTTGCGGTCCACATTTTGCTGTCTAATTATTATTTTTCGATACTACTACGGTAGTGTATCAGTTGTGCTTTAGTCGTTAATATAATCGTCTCTTGGCGTATTCTCAGGTTTGAAAAGCCCACCAGCCTTCCATGAACAACGACAAAAGTTGGAGAGGGCCAAGATGGGCGATCTGTTGAAAGCCAAAATTCAACAGAGGCCTGACAAACAGCAGCTGGTTAGACAGCACATATTAGAAGACGTCGGCGACGTGGACCGATCATTAGCCGAACGTCAGCGCATGTTGGTCAAGTGTCGTTTGGCTGATTCACTAAATACCCAGCTAGCACACAGACCCGGTCCTTTGGAATTGATCAAAAAGAATATACTCCACACGGACGAGCCCATTGAAAGGGCCGTTAAAGGTATGCTTATGCATTTGTTGCAAATTCAGGTGAACATTCCAGAAAAATGCATAGTTAACTGTTTTATAAGAACCAACCAAAAGTGCAAAGAACAGATTCCATTTACCTACTCCTAACTTAGAGAATTATTATATTTACAGTAGGTAGAAAAATATCACAAAATTAATAATAAATAATAAATGGTATATTATTAGTATGGGTTACGTCATACTTTTAAGATCTGCCTATAGACATATGCTGTAAATTATAATATAGGCATCAATGGAACCTAGAATCTTTATTGTACATTGAGCGAAATACAGTTGTTAGTATAAAACCATTTTTCTGTAGCTGTTGTGTTTGCATTCGTTCTACGCATGTGTCTTGATCGAATGAATTTGTTTTTTAGAGGGTCAAATTGAGTTCAAAGCAACCAGCGAAGGACAAAAAATCAAGCCTGAACTCCCCGATCAGTACTTGATACTAGACGAAGACTCTCAGAGTTCTGGTGGCGCTGGAAGTTCGTGTTCCCCACCACCGCCACCACCACCTCCTCCACCACCGCCACCGGCGGTAGCGCTGACCCACAGGCCAGCGTATGACATGATAGAGACGGCCGCTGCCAACGCCGGTATCGTCACTTTAACGTTACTACCTTCACCCCTGGGCTCATCCACGTCCAGCTTGTCACCGATGAGTTCGGTTGCCTCACCACCGCCCCCGGCGCCCCCACCAATGCCTCCGTCCACCCTACCGTTACAGGTGCATGGGCAGCAGCCGGCACCGGGTAAGGACAAGAATCGAAAGAAGAGCAAGAGTAAGTCACAGGCGAAGACCAGGACGATCAAGTTCCATGAGTACAAGGGACCACCGAGTGCGCATAAGTCACAAAATCTAAACGCAAATTCGGCTGAGACCTCGTACGAGCTGCTTCTGCAGCAGCAGCAGTTGTTCTTGCAGTGGCAACTCGAGTGGCAACAAAAAGTATGAGTTCGATTGTACCTTTTATCTGACTGAAGTTTGAATGATATCAATTAAATTTTATTTATCCGTAGTATCCTCAACTCATACTTCCCGCTCCCCCACACAAATCAACCTCGTCTATCGTTGAACAATCTTCTACCGTATCATCGTCGTCGTCGCTGTCGTCTTCGCCATCGTCCGCTTCGTCAACGACGTCCGCCCAGACCATCAACAATCTACCACAGATTATCGAAACCCGTTCGTTACGAAATCTCGACGATTTAAAGGGTCAGTATTATATAGGAATATATCGATTTATACTTTTATGCCTGTATACAAACATTATAATATACTTTTATTTTTGGTGAGCTTAATCATTCATTTTATTTTTAGTGAGTGACTTAAAGGCTGAACTGAAGAAACGTAATTTACCCGTGTCTGGGCCGAAGCCACAGTTGATTGAAAGGCTACGATCGTTTGCTGAACACAATTCGGAACTGTCGAACATAATGCTATCGCCCGGCAACCATTCGAATCCAAACAGTCCTCCACGGTCGTCGTCTACGCCGCCACCACCACCTCCCCCACCACCACCACCACCCTTACCATCACCAGGATCACAAAATACACCAGAAGAAGATCGCATCATCCGTGAACAGCAGAGGCGCATTGAACAGTTACAAAAACAACTGCTTAACTCCCAACTACAGCTTCAACAACAACAGCAGACCAGGGTACAAACATTCCAGGTAATGAAAATATAAATGAGACTACTTAACACACATTTACCAAAAAATAACTGGTTTAAGTACATTTATAAAACTCCATAGCAATAACAACGCATTTAGGTAACAGACTTTAATGATTGCAATGTAATTTCACATAATCGAATTTATATTGCGAGTCAATTAAATGTAATCAACGGGCTCGGCGTCGACCCGTTCTCAAATTTAATGACCTAAATAATAATGTTTAAACCCATTTTAAGCTATTTTATTGTTGATTACAACAGCTTATTATTTTAAGATAATGCATGTATGATATGTATATGTATAATGTATATATACATACACATACATAAAGATGTAAATATTTTAAATATTTATATGAAAAATAGGTAACGTATTGTCCATGGTCAATTTTTCGACATTATAGGTACCTACCTTAAAATAACACCATGTGTGTCCTCTGTTTCAGCATAATATGTACAATTTTCGCAATTGTTGCCAGTTAGGTTTAATGATCAAAACCATAACCGTTAACCTAAAAACTTTTGTTCATATTATTAATCGATATCATCTATTTTGCAGCCTCATCAGCCGGTTAATGCGAAAGCGAATCTGGCAGCCTTCCTTCAGCAGCAACAGTTGAATCAACAGCAAAAACAACAGAAACACATGATTTTAACGACGAACAATAATAATTTAATGAAGAATAACAACAATAACAACAACAACAACAATCTTGAGACGACTAAACGGCGGAGCAATACAATAGTATTGGACAAGGAACAAGCGGCATCAATTTTGAGTCAGTTGGACCACAACAGTCAAAGGTATGTGTCACACATTACATTCCATTTCATTCTAATCGTTCGTCACGTTTCTTATATTATATTATATATATTTTAGTAGAACGACTTCTCTGCCGAATTTTTTGGGTACGTTCGTTCAACCCAATTTAACCACCACCAACGTCATCAACAACAACAACACTAGTATTAACAATAACAATAAGCCGACGATCACGGTTGTTCAGACCCCCTCAGGGTTCCAAAAAGTGGCTGACGACGACAAAGTCGACATTCCCATGGTTGTGGATGACGTGAAATTGCACCAGCAAACCACTGTAAGCTTGCCATCGCAGCAGCAGCAAGTAGAAAGAGTTGTTGAGTCATCGTCGGAAAATCGACACCAGGACACGTTGGAAAACAACAACCTAAGTCCAAAACAGGAAGATGTAAAACCACAGTCACCGTCATCGCCACCTTACATTGATATCAACAGTCTACCAATGGTGTTTGACGACACGAAACTGTTTCAAAACGTGAGTCGAAACTGATATTATAATGTTATAACATAATATTCTAAATCCCCATACTCAGCCAGAACATCGTGTGAATGGGAACTCCCTCAATTTTCTCGTCTAGTCAATGTTATTCGAAGCATTACAATTTGTTTTGCTATCCTAAAATATAAACATCGTTGAGCGTTTCGTCGGTGCCCACATACTGCTTGAACCCGAACGTTACGTCCCTCTTATTTTAATATTATATTTTTACTGACAAATTACTAATGATAATATCGTAATAAACTATATACCTGTCGTTTGTCTTGGCGTTTTTAGGACCATCTGGTTGACACTTGCCGGCACAATGTGTCCAAAAGTCAGATGATGGACGATGTCCTGGAGATATTGATCAGGAACGGCGAGTTGCCCGCGTCGGCGGCTCACGACCAGACGTCAGCGGGATCCGGCGTCGAACACTCGGCGGTAAACGCGACGTCCGATTTCGACATACACATGGACGATCCGTTCGCCATGGACGTGGTGTGCAACGACGACCTGATGATGGACGTGGACACCGACTGGCTAGATTCGCTGGACCTGCCGCCGCCGTCGGCCGAACCGCTGGCCGACCTGTTCAACGGCGAAGCCACCGACAACGACTTCAAACTTCCCGCCAACATGGACTTCCTGTGGGACCGAATAGACTTCGCGACGTAATTTCACGTGTAAAATATTTTTTACCGTCGCTACGGACGTGTAAACGTTTACTTCAGTATAGGTGCACGTGCGTGTTGCGCGCTATCGTTATCGCCATTCCCCTTCGTCTATTTTTTTTCTCTGTCTCTTCTCATCTCTTCGTGACTCGTCCAACGCCGTTAAAGAATGTATGAAATAAACGCATACGTCTACGTTTCCCATAGTGGCATCGCCTCGAGTCGATTGGTCGCGGTGACCGATGTGTATAAAGATTTTTAAAAAAATTGATTACATTTTATTTAAATAATTAAAAACAATACTTTGAATTGACGAAAAATTATTATATATGCTCATTTATTTACCAGGGTCGTGTTTACTTAAGGAATATTTATTTAGAGAAATTATAAAAATATAATTAATGTTTCTTTTCTTTTTCATTGCTCAAAATTGTATTATTATTATTATTTATTTTTTTAAACTGAAAATAAAATAATAAAAAAAACTAACCCATTAAATCCATTATCTGTGGTTTACATTCCTTAATTTTTATTTAAAAGATTAAAATAAAAACGTCCGGCATAATGATATATTATAGTGTTTAATGAACAAACAAAAACATTATTTTCAATATCATATATTTTATTTGTAATAAGTATCTTGTACATAGTATAATAATGTTTGTATTAAACCGTCTTTTTTAAATTATTATTAAGTATTACTAATTTCATAGTTAAATTATATTTTTATTTATTTTTAAATAAGGAGTAATAAAATGACAAAAAAAAGCGGTTGAAAAACGATATACATAATTGTAATGTCCGCTTAACCAATGAATAGGTGCTGAATAGTTATTTAAATAGTACCATATTATACTGTATAGTGAGCGCATGTGAAACGGCATACGGCACACCTAGTGCCGTCATTTACCTCGATGGGCTGTGCGTCGTACCGGGCGAAAACAGAATTATTATTATTATTATTATTATTATTTTTTTTTTTGTAGAAAATATTTTTCTCTCCAATGTATAATACAAATATATTTATTAACCTTTTCTCAGCGTCTTACGGCTCTATTATATTAAACATTTGTGACTTTTACCATTTTCCTTTTATGCTTCCTTCATCGACATATTTTGATAAGAACGATTGTATACGTAACATTTTTAATCTGTTCTGTTATTACTCTTATTATTATTACTTATCTTTCTTTTTATTTTTGTTTTTTTTTTTTTTTTGTTCTGTATATAAACAATGGTGCTCTTTACCTATATTATGTAATAGTCCATACATAGTTATCTGTAAAACAATATTTTATGTTTGTCATCCCATTCGTGAAGTAAATCACGCGTAAAAAATCCATGTGTTGTTTCCTTTTAATCAATAGATAAAATTATTTTAAACATTCCAAAAACACTAAACGAATATTGTACTAGAAAAATATTGTTAGGAAATTTTTATCAAACAAAATTTATCAAGAGGTTTTCGCTAAAAATAAATTCACATTTCATGATCATTGGTTGCTATAGCGATATTAATTTATTATATTGTGTATGTATATCATAATTTATCATACTATAATAATAATGTATGCCATAGTCATTGTGATTAAATGATAATCAATTAGTCAATTAGTCAAGAATATTCTAGATCAAAATTTATAATTATAAACAAAAAAAAAAAAAAATTTAAAAAAAAACAAAAATCAAAAGATAATAAAAAAAATTCCTATACTTATAACTTTTGACTTAACATTTATGCGTAGGTATACCTAATCATAAAAGCAATAGAATTAATTTAAGTTCAAATTATTGTTATTTTATTTGATTATGTATTTTGTTTATGTACATTTTGCTGAATAATTATATATATATATATTTGTGAGTAAATCGAAAAATGATTGTTAAATATTTTGTATTGTTTTTCCCCTCTTCTTGTGTAGTACTTTTGAAGGGATTATTAAAAAGCGTCTTTACACAAAAAAATTCTACAACATTTTTATCAAAGGGTTTTTATTTAGTTTACCTGTGTAAGTAAATACAAATATTTTAGAGTATAAAATATATATTATATATCTATTGTAAAACAGCTCACCATTGTAGATAACTGTTTTGAAGCTGCATGAATCCTAAACAATTTTACTCTATAAATGCGCTGTAAGCAATTTTAATTCTTTTGACACAAAAGATTTATGTTCTGCCGACTTGTAAAAAATCTTTTAAAAAAAAATATAAACTGATGCAGTTGATACAAACACAAAAAAAAACTTAGGGGGTTTCACTACGTATGGTTGTTAGGTTAGATTATTTTGTACAAATAATAAGGTTAGGTTATTGGTCGGGAGTAAATTAAGGATATTTACGGTCTGGGACGGATAGAGCCGCCGGGACACCGGGATTTCCCCTGTGGGCCACTACTTATGTTGATGAAAATGGGCCTCTGAAAAATATGACTATTATACATTTAAAATGTACGTACTCACAAATAAAATGTAAATAAATATACTTTAATACATATTTAAACTTAGCTTAAATCTATAATTATAGACTAGCATAGTATGACTGAGCAATGACAAAAATCTCGCCTTATTCACATGTATCATAGCCCCAACGAAAAATAGTTGTGCGCCAGCGTTATCGACTGACCACCATCACAGTTCACTTCAGTCTACAACATTTGTTTAACTTGGAATTGAGGTATTATTTATTTTTTGCTTATTGACCCTCAAATCTGCTGTTACAGATGTCATCAACCAATATAAATAATATATATATCATTATCGAACACAGAGGTTACAGTAAAATTTGCCCAACTAGTCACTACGTCATTCTGTTCTTGACTTTCTGTTGACTTTGTACTTAAGTAATCTTACGTACCTACCAATCTATTTGGATTTATTGTGGAAGCTTCTGGGGTTTAGACAAGTATAGGTAAATGTTCGTACTATAATTTTAACTGGTCACACGCGCATATCATAATCATTGTTATTATTCATATCATTGTTTTTGTAAATTATATAACATTTTGATTATTCGCAACACTATATTGACCACCGCTCTTCGGACTGCGCATATTAACACAGCCGCCATGTACATATTTTATTCTACTTAACTATGCTTCGAATCGAATTAAAAAGAAAAAGAGGAACAGAAGAGAAGAGAGATAAAAACTAAAAACGTTGTTAGAAGTGAGCAAAACATATCGTGTAAAATAATACATAAAAAGTATATTTGGGAATGTTGAAAAAAATTATAAAGTACCTAGTTTCAGTAAGTCAATCATTAAAACAAAAAAATAATATAGTAAAATATTAAATGTACTAGCTGATCTCGTGTACTTCGTTACCCGTTAATAAATGTACCAAATATAAACGACACAAACTTATATAAATAATATAAAATATAATAAATACAATATATGTATAAATAATTACATTAATTTTTCTAGTTTTATAAAAATAAAAAATTTAATTAAAATTAAAATAAATTAATTATAAAAGATCCTCAAATTGTTGTAAAACAACTTTACCGTCAGCGCAGCAAAATCCATTGATTTCATCTTTCCATTTTTTTGCATGGCACTTAGGACATAATATCGTCATTGGTCCTATTTGAAGCACTTTAATATTTAAATAATCAATCTCGGATTGATAATTAAACGCTGATTTCATACTCAAAGCGTTACGTTGCTCCTATGCAAGTGTTTGAGAACATTCTGTTGTGTTATACATTCTGTTATACATTCGAGTAGCATTGGCAGTTCTTCTGCCAATGTATGCTCTTGGCGCTCTTGGCATGATGATAAATTAGCCACTTACCCGAAATTTAACTCATAAGAATAATCAAAAAGTATAAGCACAAATTATGCTCGTAAATGGCGTACACGTAATTCACGAAAAATAATAACTCAAATCAACAAACATGCCCGATTAACCAATAGCAACTATTATTACATTAATCTGCAACAACAACAACTTTTTATTATTTAGTTTATTTTTTCCTATACAGATTGCGCCACTGTTTTATTTTTGACATCCATATTTCCTACTTTCTGGTGGATTTTTCTAAACAAATGTTGGTCCTATGACCTCCAGCAGACTGTCAAGTATAACAGTGAAAAATTTCAGCCAAAACAGTTTTCTCGGTTAGCGCGGTCTAAGAAAACCCTTACCATTTTATATAATAGTATAAATATAGATATAGATAGATAGTTGTAATAGTGTAATATAACATTTATATTTTTTCCTTAGACATATTATAATATTTATATGTGGTTGGTTAGGTTAGCTTAAGTAACTTAGTTATATAATTGTTTTGTTGAATATGATCATGGCGGCCGCTGAAGATTCTATTTTTCTCGTGTCGATCAGATCACGAGTATCCACCCGTGGATATGGCACAAGCCTATAAACATAAAGACTATAGTTAAAAAATGATTTTCTTATTACTTTGATGCATTAAAAACGTTTTGAAAACAATGAAAAATATGTGACTTATTATGTGTATAATTTGTGTATAGGCTAATATTTTAGCACATAATATTATAATAATATCATTATATCATTATAGACAGGAGAACTCGGTTGTGTGTTTGACTACAACTGTGTTTGTCTAAAGCCGTCCAATAACTGAGGTATGAGGTACCATCAGTTATACTATCCATGATGTTTATTTTTTTTTCAGTTTTATTGAATATTCAGTTACTTAGAAATTATTTTATTTTTGGAGAAGTATCTATATATGTCTCCTAGTAGAGCTCCTAGTACCTGTTCAATTTGATTTGGAAACATTTGTTATCACTGATAGTTGCTATTATATTGCTGCCTCAGTCCACGAAATTATTTAAGCGCCAATTCAATCATTTGTGCCTATAATATCTAAACAATAATGAATCAAAAATGTATTCCATATCAAACGTAGACGGCTTTGTGGCACCTGATAATTAATATTTTATTATGCACCTCTGACTAAATGTCTTATCTGTCTTAACTATATAAATATGTAATTATATATAAAATATAAGAACCCATAAATTGTCTGTAAATATATAATATGCAGATTTTGACATTTTTTCATGTGACAGTTGCAAGCCACAAATACTAATAATTTACTACAAAAATAAAAAATTAATTCTCGAATTTTATCAGGGATTTAATTCCATCACGCGGATGACCTGTGAAAGAAGCCGCAGTACCTACATACCTACGGAAGTTAAAACCTGACCGAACGTTTTGGCACGGTGCTGAGACCTTCGGGGGACTTTTTATCAAAAAAATGGCATTTGAAGTTTCATTACATTGTTCCCTCATGTTAAACGATGAAATATTGAACCTAAAGCCCTTGTAGCTGTTAGATATTACTTTTAGTTATGCGAGGTACTTGAAGTTCAATGAGTAAGCTCACCCTTACAGTGGGTACCTACCTATAATACTTATGAGAAGTCTACCGTAATTTTTCCGATGGCATTTAATTTGTTTTCGTAATCGCCCTACATCGGCCAACAAATATTACATTTATAAAATATAATATAAACGTACATATTACATAACAATACTATTTTATCTTATATGTATTTAATCTACGTTGTGTTTTTAAAGTAAAACTTTTTAAGGTGACCTAC